AAGAGCTAGTTCCAGGACAGCCTCCAAAGCCACAGAGAAACTATGTCTTGAAAAACCAATCAGAAAGGGCATGTAACATGATTTCCTAACAGAAAGCCTCTATGTCCCCTTACCTTGAAACTTAGGTGGTCCAATGGCTGTCTTGATGCTGTTCAGGATCATCCTTCCCCAAATCAGAAAGTCCCTCAGGAATGTGGAACTTCCTCCATGTGGGATTTCAGGTACAATGGATCAGTTTGCAGGGAGTCTCTTGACTGGCCAAAGGCTGAGACAGAGAGTGCTGCAGAACAGGGGGCTAGAGTCATTTGGGAGCACCCCTGTGTTACTCTGACCTCTCATGGTGGCCCACGGTTGGAAGGAAGGGGAGATATCCACCTTGAGAACATCCTTGGCTGGCAGTTTTTAGCTTGTGTTGTTTGGAGCAGCATGGAGGAAGTGGTGAGACAGAGCAGGGCAGTGAGAGCCTGGGCCAAGCTAAAGCTTGGGAAATGCTTGCTGGTTCAGAGGCTGTGTGGTGCTGGTCAGCCTGATCTTAGCAGGAAAGCACTGACAGGAAAACAGCAGGGCTGAAGGGGTCAAGTTGCTCTATTGGTAGCTTGAACCTTAGTTCCGGATAATCAGAAAATTCTAGAATGGGGAGAGAGAAGTAAGTAAGGAACAGCCTCTGTCAGTAATCCCTTTCTGACTCATCGTTCCCATGAGAACAGCCCAGCATCATGTGACTGGTAGATTCACTTCCTATATTGGAGACTGTGACTTGAGTCCCCTTGGAGCTTCTGATTTGGGGAGAAAAAAAGAAAAGGAGAAGGTCAAGGCTTTATAGCCATCCTGATGGCCTGAATCGATATTTGGGGGCAGAATTAGCTTGTTTGGCCAGAGCCTTTATTGTAACATTACCTTGGGTTTCCAGGCATCCTGTGGCAGATCAAGAAAGCCCTAGTTGTTTGATATGGGTGTGTCCCCAGCGGTCCCTGGCCCACCATTTCTCTATGGAAGCTGGCCTGAAAGGGCTGTGTAGGTGGGTCAACAGAGTGCTGTTTTTCTTGCCTTTTTTTTTTTTTTTTTTTTTTTTTT